TCATTTTTTCTCTTTTACATTAAGATGATAATAAGCATCAGCAAGGCCTCATAGAAAAACACTTAACTGTCTTTAATTGCATCATCTATAGAAAAAAAAAACACTTATTGATCTTAGTATCTTTACAATCTCTTCTTGCCATTTCACTGACAAGTCTACCTTCCCCCCCAAAAAAAAAATTGTCTTGGATTGAATTTCCTGGCCCAAACATTGTCTCCACTGCTGCCGCCTCCGTTGCTCATGGCCACACACCTGGCCTCCTTGAACTTGCCTGAACAGCAGGACTGCTCAGGAGGAAGCTCAGCTCACTTCCTTATTATCACATCCTGCACATGGAAGAACCAGGCTTGTTCTCAATTCTTGGGGAAGAAATGGAAATTTATGGCCCATGAAACAATGTGTCCTTTTCGATGAATTCTCACTATGTGAATCTGTTTACATCAATAGCAGCTGCCTCACAGTTGCTTATATTTCTGTTATAAACAAGTAAAGTGATTTTTTTTTTTTTGGCAAAATATTTGAGACCTAAAAGAACATGTCCTTCTCGCACTTATCATTCTTTTCTTAAAGTCTCTGGTCAGTTCTTGGAGAGTTTGGTAATCAGCATGACTAGAGTGTGTGTGTGGGGGTGTCCTTTGATAATTTTCCTCTTTGATAATGAATCCTCTCCGGGAATCTGTGGCTGATGCTTTTCAGAATTAGGTATGTCTCAGACCACTGAGTAAACCAGGATGAGCTTTTCTAGCATTTATGCAAAATACTAAATGAAGCTGTATTTTACTACAAATTTCTTTTTCTTTTTTGATTTGATCTTTTCAGAACACACGCCTTATTGAAAGACACGTATTTCTCACTATACAAGTTTTGGCATCATCTATCACATCTACAAAAGCCCAGGGCATTTGACAAATGCCTTTCTATGTATGATGTGGACACTCTTGATCAGAGTAATAATTGCAAGAGTAATAGGAACAATAACAGCCTTCTTAGAGGGATCTGGTATGTGAGAGACATGGTTTTGATAGGATGTGCTATGGATATCCATAGACCTATATTTAGAAACAAGGTGACATATCCTTTCATATCTAAATCTTAATAAATCAAAACTCTATCCTTCCTACTAAGTTCCTATCCTATGGCAATGTCAGATATTTCCCCTCAAAAAAGTATGTATGTGCTGCACAAATTTATTCTATCTTCCCTTTGTCTCTAGTTGGTCATTCTGCTTTGAGATAATTCTCTGCATATTACATAAAAAGCATACCCTTTGGTTTATAACCATTAGTTCAAGGCTACAGTGTTTCATTATTTCTTAGGGCAATCTTTTAAAAGTATAAGTAAATATGTAACTAAGCATATGCATAGTATATTTTATATAAAAAACAAATAGACTAATTAATGAATTAAATAGTTAGCTACTAGGAATGGATATTCCTAAAAATCAGAGACTGAGTCTACCCTCAAAATGACTTCTAGTCTTCTGATCTTCTGGGATCGGAAGGCAAGCTAACTTCCATAAATTATGACCTTCATCTCTATTCCTTGGGGTCCAAATCGAGTGTCTTCCTACTATAGAGACAGAAGAACGTTCTTCCACAGACTGAGGACACAACTCAGTTCTGCCTCCTGGATACATTAAGTGACAGCATCTCTTTACTCTAGTGAGGCTCCCTCATATCATAACAATGTTGTCCACTTTTTCCAGGGGCAATGTAGTTACAAACAGCATCATGAAGCCATGAAAAAGAGATTGCGTTTTTCTATGGGTCTTACAATCTACAGGGGAACCATTATCACACATTTCCAAGCCTGAGAACACTATATCTTAACTACTTGTAGGGCACCACATCTTGGCCGTATAGCATCCTAACTTCCTTTTTCATATTCTCTGCTCTGAGGATAATCTCCCTCTCAAACTGTCAGAGATCCTTCTTTATCAGGCCATGCTGATTTGCCCTACTCCTAGCCTTCCTAGGAGTAGCCTAGAGGTGAACATACCTGGACTTGAGTGTCCATCACACCTGGGCTTAAGCACACACCCTCCACAACAACCTGTCTCAACTTCAACAGAAACACACATCACCCAGCGACAAGTTCCTCTATATAAAGTGCCTCCTTGACACCGATCACATCAAAAGTGCATGGAAATCTGTCATTCTGGTACTTTTCAGATGTTTGAAACAAAGCTTAACCAGAAAAAAATCCTGAGAGGATGCAAATGATAAAACCTTTGTCAATCAGACAAATAAAAGATGGAAAACAAATAGTTAAAAATATGCTACTTCCTCTTAGTTTCTGATTTGGAAGGCTTTGTATAAAAAAATGAAAAATCATTACAATTTGGGAAAATACAAATGATTCAGGAAAACTGCAAAATATTTAGTGGCTGACTCAACATAACACTCTTTAGAATGGCTTTTACATGTAGAGAAAACCTCTGTTAAAATTTGAAACACAACAAATATATTTTTCTATTATCTTAATACAATAATCAAAGATAATATTAATAACTTCAGGTGTGCTAAAAACAGCCCAGAAAATATTTTTATCTAATATAATGCCTAAAAATTATGCAGAGGATTATTGTTATTTATCCTATTTGGGTGGAGGCATGCCCCTGATAAACCAAAATAAATGGGTTTCCTTTCACATTCAGCATACCTACTGAAAGATGTGCTATCGAAAACTGGAATTTTTGTTACTAAATATTTTAATATGATTCAAAGTTTTAAAGTATTCCAATAAAACAGACTTCTCAGCAACTTAGTGAGGCCCTATGCAACTTAGTGAGAACTGGTCTCAACATAAAAAGGGGCTAGGAAGAGACAGAAAGATGGCTGAATAGAGAATCACGTCCCCGGTGGCTCTGTGGTGTGAAACCAAGAAACGGAGACAGGCAGTTTTTCAGCAAGGTGGGTGAGTGAACAAAAATTATGGGGCACATTACTGGAATTTAACATTGGATACTTCAAAACAGATCAGAGACTCAGGAGATCGAAATGATAAAATCAGGAAGAAATCACAGTGCCACAGCCACGGCAGAGGATGGAGGCACAAACCAGAATGGTCCATCCATGAACACAGTAAAGCAATAAGGAAATCAGAGGAACTTCCATTCTCAGGAGGACTGAGGCATGTCAGGATACAGAGTTTAGAGGTCAGAGTCACTGCCCAACTAAAACAGTAAGATTCACTGCACAATATCCTTGTATGGGAAAGAAACTACCAATCTGTCCCAGGAGAGTGTGGTGGACAGTAGAAGGAATCATTTTACAGTCACAATGTAGAGGCCAGTACCTGGGGGAGCCAATTCCTTCCAAAAACTGAGTTTGGCTCAAAACATGAGATGGGCAAACCAAAGCAATGCAACAGAGAGTGCCTGAGTGACCAGGAGAAAATTGGGCATGGAGAGAGGTTTACACAGGAGAATACAATCCAGCTGTTTGCAGGACAAGCTGGGAGTGACATGTCTGACTGGGAATTCAAAAGGCACAGGGGTGGGAGAAACTGAGTTTGAAGACTGAATCAGAGACTAGGAATTATAGAGTCCATAAGTGACACAGGGGGCTTCTATACCAAAGGAGTAGAACCCAAAAGAGATCCCTGGGGTGTAGTCTTCCAGCATTGATCAGCAATTGCTGAGCCCTGGAAGTAAACTGATTTAAAATCTACAGACCAACTGGCATTCAGCAAAGAGATTGGAACATACATAAGCCTAAACCCCACCAGGAATAACCCTCTCACATAAGCAACTGCACCCTGAGGATAGAGCAAAATCATACTCCTGACAGCCCACCTCAGGACTGGGAAGAGAGGCTGAGAATATTTGAACTCCAATTGAAACAATTGTTCAACTTTTCATTGAGATCTTTTTTCTCTCACATTTGTACCATTTTTGAAACCAATTACTTTTCATGCATCAATTTATTGAGAACTAGGATGACTGATTAGTATATTTCAGTTTTGTTTTGTATTCTTTTTTTACTTTTTTCTATTTTTGAAAAACTTTATGATATATAGTAATATATATGTAATATATATCTTATATATGTATATATAATTATATATATAATATGTATAATATATATATATGTATATATATATATATATATATAACACAGGGGAATACTGGTCACAGAAATTGCTCTTGCAAACTGGTCCTGTTTCCATCAATTCTATTTTTCTCTTTTCTCCTACTAACAGCAAACCTTTATTATTCTCTGTTTCACTCTTCCTTTAATTGTTTACTTCTATCTTCTTCTCCCAATGTCATACCCTAAACCACTTTTCTTCTCTCTTTGTCCACCATTTGAAATTGTAAACTCTTCTACAAACCTACTGATTTTATTGCAGGTAATTAACTGAACATATCGTTTCTGTTTATTGTGACAAAACTGTAGATGTCTTGGTAGGAGCTAATTAGTTTAAGGTTGTATATTGTTTGCATTGTTTGCTGTTATTATTTGTCTTCCCCTTAATAGTGTGGTCCTGGAAACCTTCAGAGGCACTATAAGTCTGTGAGATAGAAACCCTACTGCTTCAGATCCACACTGTTAGGTAGACACACAAACAACCTGAAAAAACAAGGAACATATCACCCTGAACAAATCAAGATGCTCCAATAATAGAATCCATTGACACCACAGTGGAAGAAATGTCAGAGAAAGAGTTTAGAATGTGCATAGCTAAACTGATCTATGAGGTAAAGGATGATGTAAGGAGTGAAATCAGAGAAAAAAATTCAGGAGGTGAAGATCACTTCAATAAAGACACAGAGATTTTGGAAAGAAATCAAGCAGAAATCCTTGAAATGGAGAATCAATAAACCAAGTTAAAAATTTAATGGAAAGTATGACCAACAGACTAGACCACTTGGAACACAGAGGTTCAGGCAATGAAATCAAAATATAAAATCTTAAAAATAAAGTTGACCATTGAGAAAAGATGTTACCACAACTTCCAAGAAATATGGAATAATATGAAAAGACTAAATTAAATATTTATTGGAATAGATGAAGATGTGGAAACATAAAACCAAAGAAATACACAATCTTTTCAATGAAATAATATCAGAAAATTTCCCCAACCTAAAGAATGAAGTGAAGAATCGAATACAGGAGGTTTACATGTAGTCTGTTTGGGTACAGAATAGAAGATACAGACATAAACCCACTTAAATACAGTTATCACATACTAGACATGATATGAATACAAGAATTGGTAAGATTTTGCAATTTTACTGCTAGGAAGGAAAATGGCCTGAGAACCAGAGTTGACTCTAATAATTTCTGCTAGACCCTGTGTTACCTATGGCTTTGCAGGTACACATTCCAAAAAAAAAATGTGTGATTTTTAAGTCATTTGGTTTGCAATTTCTGTTTATGAAATCTAAAGCATACTTATTTATAGATGATATAAGCTAATTGTTCTATTAATGTTGATTTATTTCCTGTTCAAATACCAGGACAAAGGAATTGGAGAGGAATGTCTGATGTTGGCCTTGCCTTTTCACAAGGCAACTCCCTTGCAGGTAGATAAGTAGGTCAGGTAAGAACCAGCGGGTACACCAGCAGAACTCCACTGAGGTATGTAAAATTTTCCCAGACCTCCCTCTCTTTGAAAAGGTGAATATATAATCTTCTGCTATCTAAAAAAACAAAACAAACAAACAAACAAAAAAACCGGCACAGAAGGAGTTATCTGTCCAAGGGGAAAAATACATAAGATTGGTAGATAGGTTTTGCTTTTCTGTTCTGCTTCGATTTCCCTAAATCAAACAGTCATTGGAATGGAGGTCAGCATTTGTGGGACAGGATAATGGGAAATTGGGTTGTGGATAAATTTAGTTTCAGTTTAATTAAATAGGATCATGTGAGTTTTTAAGCATTACTTATAGGCATAGTTCCTACTAGGTGTCTCATCTGGGATGGGATCTTCATGATGAAGATGTGCAGAGCTAGAAGCTGTACTGCATCATTAACCTGCCCATGATACCAAGCACCAGAGGCAGTTGGGTAATAGGAGCAGAAACCAGTTTTGAGGTGTCCTGATAAAGAAGCTGTCTGTGGTACATTTCTCAACTCCTCAGATTTGTGAAATTAGAGAATTTAGCTAATGAAAACGTAAGTTCTCCACTCTCAGTTTTTTGTTTTTTATTTTAATGCTCATTATTCTGAGTTTTTCTTAAAAACCTTGTGAAGTATCTTGTGTAATATAAAATCAGAATACATTTTGTGAGAGTTTGCATATTCTATGCATTCTAATTATACGTTAAAAGTTCAATCTCTCATTCAAGAGGCACCCTGATTTTTTTGTTTTCCTTTTTGCTACAGAATTTTCTCTTCATAGATATTAAAAAGTTATTGAGTTGTGACAGTGTAAAAACATGCATTCAAAATGTAGAGAAAATGATCAGAGAGGCAGATTAACCAATTAGTTGATAAAAATTATTGTTCCTTTTCTGGATTTGGTGATGTTCTTGCATTTGTTAGCTCGAAAAAATTTAAATTGATTTTTTTTCCCCTTAGGATAAATACATGTTTGCATTTACATCTAACTTTCTAATTGAAATTGTTTTTCTCAAATGAATGAATAATGGATTTTAAAAAATCTCAATTTCCTGGGGAAGGATGTAAAAACTCATATAAACAATTATGCTTAAAAAGAATTCTGAAGAATAAGTAGAGAATATTGGGGTCCAACAGATAAGAACATGAGACTGTAGGTCAAAAGTCATTGAAGGGCCTTTGCTGAACACCCCTTCCCCAAATCCACCGCACACCACCTTGCCTTGTTTCTCTCTACTCTGTTGCTATAACTGAATCCTTCTTATGTTTCTATTTTCACTGCAGCATAAGCTTCTTGGGGACATGGGTTTGTGCCACCTTGTATCTCAGTAACCCTCGAGCCTGGAACTGTGCAGGCCAGTCAGCGTATAATAAAATTGCTGCTATATAAATACTGAATAAACCAACAGACAAGTACTCCAAAGTGGAGTTTCTTTACATCAATCATTCAGTGAAAGAGAACAGTCATTAAGATATTTGAACACCTCCAAATCTCTAGCTAAGTTTTATTTCTGTATTCTGCACTTTCAGAATCCTTTGGCAATGTAGTTTTATTTTCGGTTGTTAAACTCACACACAAAGAAGATTGGTAGAATCTAGAAAGTTAAAAACCCAGATTTTTCATATGTATAAATTACTTTCTCTGCAATCATATTTAGAAAGGCAGAAAAAAAAGTGAGTCCAATGAGACTGAAAAGATACATCTGGCCACCATACTTAAAAGGCATCATCTTGAAAACTGTTAATTTAATTGAAAATTGTGCGGGAATCTTCTTGCAGAGCTCATAAATCCTGGAAGTAATGTTGGTAATCTTTCCAGGAACTTTGAGACAATCTTGGTACTTTTGTGTGTGTGTGTGTTACTTCTTTTAGTCACAATTTTGGGGGGTGAAAATTATGTTTTGTAATCATGAATGAAAGGACCCACAGGGATCTTCTCAGTTTCAGGCAACCCTCCAAGTGTTTCTAAGAGCAGAACAAAGATTTCCCAATTTCAGCTTGGCTGTGCCACTAAACCCTATCTGTCAACATTTTCTCCATCAATTTTTAAATTGAAAAGGACCTGAGTAGTTCTTGGGTTAGAAATTGATGCATGCTAATTAGTTAATCCCAATGTCCTCCTTGCTAACAGAAGTTCTTTTTGTTCAAGTTAAAATTGTGTTCAGATCTATATTTGTTTTCACATTACCCCTTGCAGCTTGATATCACCTTGTGACATATTCTGGTCAATGATATTTCAAACAAAATCTACTTTTTAAAAACAATTATGTATTACTGATAGAAGAACTAGCAGAGCAAACAAAACCACTTTTTTTTCTTCATAATGCTGCCCTGAGAATGGGTACAATGTTTGGAGCTGTGACTGCCTTTTTTTGACCATGAGGTGACAATCCAATGATTAGGAATACTGAATGTTCCAGGGTCACTGGCTCTGTGATGGACTGATCATCTCCTGATTTTATAAAAATAAATAAATTTTGTATTTGTTTATTTTACTACCAGTTAGATGTCTGCTATCTGCATCAAAAAGCATTCTAGTTGCAGTTATTAATTCTAATATATTTATTTTCTAAAAGAGAGAGAAATCTGAGACTCAGTGAGAAGAGGAAAAGAATACAGAGCCATAGATACTTTGGGTGAGAAACCCATTGCAAGAGTTCCCACCTTTTCCAGATACTCACAAATACTTACTGCAGCCATCAATTTAAATTACTGCAGCCATCAAGTAGGATTATGGGTCTACTTACCTATCACTCTAAGAGACCCTGCAGGTGGAAAGGCTGACAATTCTACAGGAGTGTCAGAAAGCAACAGCCTGCAATATCTGTTGTGTATAATAACAATCATTTTTTATATTACATATTTAAGGTAAATTACTATCATTTGCAATAAAATAGTTGCTCATTATTAGGTCAAAGCAACGAATGACGAGTGTCAAATTCTACCATTCATCAAAGCTGTTCCTTGTCCTCAGTTCTCATTGTCCACTCTGTTGGTGCCCCAGCCTCATGTAGTTTTCATGAGATTAAGTGTTGAGCAATGTGGTTGGAGTAATTTGAGTCCTTCCATCTTGATCTCTTACTTTTTTCCTCTTTTTATAAGGATCCCAGAGGACTCCAGATTGACTGTGCATCATCTGCGCCTTATTCTTCTCATCAGTTATTAATTTATGCTAAACTCGGTGAAGTTTACAACTTCTTATATAACTTCTTAGAAAGAAAGCTTTTCTCTCACTTACTAGTGCTGAAGCCCAGTTCCAGCATTGTGCTCTCTGTCACATTTCCACACATATTACTCACAAACAAATAAATCCTCTTAGTAAAGCATTTGGCATCTTTATCTTCCTTTATGAAAAACGCAACTCTGAGATTTCCAATTACACATATGGAGCAGATGTTCAACATGGCCTAAGTGAACGGGGAATTCAATATGGTTTTGCAATCACAGGACATACACTGTATCCCTTTTATGATAATGTTTCCTTACAATTCCCTGTTGCAGGACAGCTGTAGCAAGTGCCAGAGTGGCCCTCTTGGCATGTTCTCTCTCTCTATCTCCTCTCTCTCTCTCTTTCACTTTTCCCACTTTCTCCAGTGCAAGAAAAAAATCTAAAAATGGACATAGGGTGGAAATAAGGCTTTCTGCCTCCTGCCTGAAACGTTAATGCCAATCTGTGACACGTGTCACCATGGAGGGCAGGGAAGTTCAATTATGGCCCACTTTCTGACTCCAAATTTGACTTTAAATACTCCACAGGTTCTCAATAACATACTTGTTGTCAAGATAGCTTTTTAAAATTAAAATTTAATTTACATTATTGGCACTCATGTTCCCACCTGTAGATGTTCCTTTGGAATAAAAATATTAAGTAATGTATGTGACAAAAAGAAAAAATAAACTCTTTGGTGTGTCTGGGTGAGAGAGAAAGAGATTTCCAACTGGATGGGATAGTGATATCAACGGGAGAAAACAAATTGGAAATTATATCTCAAATGCATCCACTGGTTTCATTTAATTTTTTTTTAAAGATAGAGTGAGAGAGGAGAGAGAGAGAGAGAGAGAGAATTTTTTAATATTTATTTATTTTTTTTAGTTTTCAGCGGACACAACATCTTTGTTTGTATGTGGTGCTGAGGATCGAACCCGGGCTGCACGCATGCCAGGCGAGCACGATACCGCTTGAGCCACATCCCCAGCCCCGTTTCATTTAATTTACATAAGCAAAGCTACCATGACAATCTTACATCAACTTCCTACGTCCCCTTGTCCCTCTATCCATTGTCTCATGCAGCAGCCAGAGAAGCTTTAAATATTGATAATCTTCTGGTTCTTCCCACTCTTAAAATTATTTGGCAAAGAGCATTGCATATTTAAAAAAAAAAGTCAAAATCTTTCATGTAATCTGCAGGATTTGATTCTGCCTTCATTTTTATGCCTTCTTTAAGTACAGTCTGTAACACTCAGCCTTTTCCTTTTGATGACACATTTTCCTCTGCCTCTCTGAGTCCCCACTTCTTTCTCATAAGGACCTTGAGACAAAAATGGCCTCATGTGAATAATCCAGGAAAATCTATCTCAAACCTCTAATTTGATCACACCTACAAAGTCCCTTTAACCATTGCAGATACACATTCACAGGCACTGGACATGAACATATTGGCGGTGTGGGTGTGGCAATTAGTTTACCTACCACATCAAATGACAAGATACAGGCCACCAGAAGGATTAGAGCATAGAGATCTCATTAATATCCAACCCTGAGAGGCAAGGATAAGCAGGTAGGGCTTTTATACTTAGGCATATTATTTCAGGGAACTTCAAGTAGCCATCAGTAAATATGATAGAATCACAAGGAGAGGAAAAAAGCAGATTTGAGAATCATGTATAAAAATGGACATCAAGGCTAGATGCTATATGGTGCATGCCTGTAATCCTAGCAGCTCCGGAGACTGAGGCAGGAGGATCGAGAGTTCAAAGCCAGCTTCCACAAAAGTGAGGCACTAAGCAACTCTGTGAGACCCCGGCTCTAAATAAAATACAAAATAGGCTGGGGATGTGGCTCAATGGTCAAGTGCCCCCTAGTTCAATTCCTGGTACCAAACAAAACAAAACAAAACAAAAGGGATGGAAATGTTGCTCAGTGGTTAAGCACCTCTGTGTTCAATCCTTTGTACCCCCACCCCTATCAAAAGAATAGACATCAATATTTTTCAGTTTATGAATTCTGGAAACACAAGAGAACCTAATAAACTTCCATGGGAATTGTATTGCTACTGAAAAATGAGCAGAGAGTACAAAAAGCCTTGGTCTGTTCAGGGCTTAAAACACCTTTCAAGCTTCACTCTTTCCGTAGTTGGAAGTGGACTTTGGAATTGATATCACCATCAACTAGGGGATGGTCTCAACATCTCTGATTGGCCAGAGTGGTTTTCTGGAGGATCCTCTGGCCTTCCATAGCACACCCAGTGGAACCTGCCCACCTGTGTGAAACTTTCAATGCTTTCGTTTCCAGCATCTGCCACAGCAATTATGGTTATGGTTCTTGCCCTCCTTCTGCAAATCACCTTCTTGGCATGCTGGCACCATCCTCTGGTGTTCTTTCTAGGGGGCTAAGTCTGATGTATCAGGAGAATGTTCTCACAGTGGAAAAACTCTCCCTTATTGAACCATAAGTTGCAGCTTCCTTCATCAAAACTCCCTTGGAATCTACTCCCAGCCTCTGCCAGGCCATTCTGGCTGGGTCCTCCAGCCCCTTAGGAAGAGTCTTTTTCTCCCCTAGAAGGCCCAACACTTCTCCTGCAGCCTCTTCATGTGAGCTAACCATAGTTACCTGTTGAGGGTGCACATATATTTTCAAATATATGATTCTGTCTAGATTTCCTTATTTGGAAAGAATACTAAAGATTGGTATGTTGTAGGAGAAATCAGTCCATACCTAGAAGACATAGAGATGTGTATCGAGAGAGAGAGAGAGAGAGAGAGAGAGAGAGAGAGAGAGAGAGAGAGAGAAAGGGAAGAAAGACAGATGGACAGAAAGAAAAACAGAGAAAGTATGTTCAGCAACTGACAACTCACCTGAAATGATTATATCACATTTTAAGGGACTGGTGTCCTGTGTAAACTAGTGAAGGAAAGCAATCAATGAAATATTATTATTATTATCAATATTATTGCAAAGACTTGATTGGGCATCCAAAAACTAGGAATTGATACCCAATAATTTTAATATATTCTACTCTTGGTAATTTTTTTAAATACTAACACAACACATTCACATTGTTGTCTGTGATCCTTTTTTCTCCCATAGACTCAGATAGCTAAATAGATACTTCATCATCAATATTATTTTTCATTTAGAATTTTAATATTTCAGTGTTCTTAAAAATATTAGTAAAATACCACTAATATTTCTGCAAACATTTACAGTGAAATAGGAAGCTACACAAAAATAACTTTTGAATAAATATGACCAGAGATAAAAGTCCTAGGGTCTGATTCCAAGAGTCAAGTAGACCATACAGTAAGCCACAACACAATAGGCATCTGACATGCCAGTGCCTTGGAGGATAAGTCACCTAAGCTTCAATATGATTGGAAATAAGGACACTGTCTTCAGAAAGAAAATTCTCATGTTTCTAAAACTTAGTTTTTTTTTCCCTAAATGAAAGCATATATTCTTTGTTTTTCTTTATATATTTTCTTTTATATTCCTTTAACACACAATCCCCTTTGTGAGTTTGCCTATTATTTCTTAACTCCAAAACTAAATAGAATCTGAGCAATTACAGACCGCCCCCCACCAATCAAACCCTCATATGTTGTAAATGCGAGTTTCAATGAACATGTACTTGGGAAATGAAAGACAGATGGTCTTCTAGTCAGTATCTCCTTTATCTCCTTTCCCAGTCCAGAATCAACTTCACATGTCTTCTCTGTTTTATTCATATCAATAAGCTTGCATCTGTTTCATAAATTTTTTTTCACTTGACTCTTTTTACCAATTCTAATTCTCCAAATGTCTTCTCCATTGAAATCCTTCCTTACTGTTTCCCCCTAAGGACTGTAACACATTTCTCAATTGCTTTCTTACACATTTGTTTCTCCAGACTTTTGTTTAGAATAAAAAGCCTTCTTAACTAGGTCTTTTATTGTAATAAAATAATTCTAACCAACTATTGCACTTTCACATCTTCACTGACATCTGGGTTTGGAGCATCTGCGACACAGAAGGTATTGAGCAGTCAAGGGAGAAAAAGATGAACCAGCCTCTCCCATCTATCCTCACTTTTTCAAACCTGGGAAATCTAGAAGCATCTCTGGGATTGAAGGGAGAGAGGGAGGGAAAAGGGAGTAGAAAGATGTCCCCTGCTATGGAAACCAAGGACAGATATAACCCGGGAGAGGGCGAAGTTTTACATTTGCAAGTTTTGTCGGAAAATGAAAATGAGACTGACCAGCAGTGGCCAGAAGAGCTAAGATTCATATGACTTTGTCAATGTCTGAGAAGGGCAAATGGAGAGTGGGTCTGAGAGTCGACTGATTTAGAAAAAAAATCAATTTCCTATCTGCACTTAACTCAATATGGTGCTTTTTGATACATAAATTTTATATGAATAAATTTCATAACATTTGAGAAACAAAAAGGGGTCAAAATGCAAAGATCTCAGATGTGTTACATTTAGTGATGTGACATTAGGCAAATAAAATGTTAGAAAAAAATTTTTGCTTAAAGAATAAGAATAGTAGATTCTCACTGCTTTCTTGTGAGATTTAAGTGAAAAATAATGCATCAGTCACAACACCTGGTTCACTGAAAGCCCTCAGCCCATCCTGTTTCCCTTGGGACTTCTCATCACTGTGTTTTTTGAGGAGTTCTTGTATACCCAGGAGTTATGCCAGAACAGTGTGAAATTATTTTCTTTCTATGTATTTTGTAAGTCTTTAGGGACATGAGGATGATGCAAATGAGCAAAAGAAACAAAAACAATTATCGAACACTAAAATGTGTGGCTTAAACTATAGTCTAGCTGTTTGGGAAATTCAGAGAAAATGAAGCGAAGTGTGAACTAACCCAGTGTATTTCCTAGAAAACAACCCAAAGTTCAAGTCAGCACGAAAGCTTGTTTTTCTTCCTTCTGGCTCTTTTCAATTTGAAACACATCCAAAGCCCTTTTTGAAAAGTAGGAGGCTTACAAAGCAGAGGAGCCAACAGTAGATGTCATTGTATTAGTTTGTTATCCAAGACTCAGGTCCATATTATCCAGAGTCCTACAGAACACCCCTCA